GGACAAAATGAGTGTATCCTTATCCTTCGTTGGTGGGTTTACAAAGAACTTTTCATCTTTTCGTTACAATATCTTGTTCTACGTGGTCGTGCGAATATAAAACTTGCTCACCGCACCGGCGAACACGCAGAGGCCTGTGCAACGCTACTTTCTAAAGCGCTTAAGCAAGTAACTTATATGAAATGCTCAGCATTTGGAGCTAGCGTTTCAATACTACGTACAACAATGAATGGACCCATCGTCTCTAAATGAGAAGGAATTTAAGGGTCAAGGACCATCTATCTTAACAGACCTTTGCAAAGGATCTTTGCTAAGTAGTTGACAGTAAGAAAAGATTCCACTTGGAAGCCTCATCGGTCCAAATTAGGGAACGCAAAATATTTTAGAGCCAGCGGTTGACCTGTGTTGGATGTGAAAGTTTTTAATTATGAAATTAATTGTAACCTACATTTTTGTTGCTTCTGCTCCAGATCAGCGTGTCAGCGGTTTTAGATAATTTAATAGCACAAGAAGAAAGTCTCAGTTTTTAGGTAACTAATTTAAAATGGCTTCGCCTGTAGACGTGTTAACAGATGTACTATGAAATTATTGACAGAATCGAGCCGTAACTGAAGCTACGTCTGTGCGGACTGTGATCAATTTGAACTTATGTATATTAAAAAAAGATATTCATAATTTTGTTTTGATTTTTCTTTTTTTTTTTAGTTTTAATTAAATATATTTTCTCTATATAATTTAAATCATGATTTTATGGTTGTAATCCAAAATCACTGATGCATGGATAAAATTAAAACCAAATTAAAAAATTTCTGTATGTTTGAACATCATCATCATGATAATGAGAAGCAGTAAAATAATAAAAACACTGCTCACTCATTAATTTTGCTTTGCTTTTGCTGCTGCCGCACTTTTCAATTCCGCAAAAGTCAATTAAACTTTTTTTTTTTTTTGGTAATAAAACCATAGCAAAGAGCTGCGGGAGATATTATTATGATTATTTACTGTTAAATGAAACTTTCTTTGCTCCTAGCCTTAGCATCGGGCAAAATATTAATTTAATATTTTTATGCATAATCATAAGCATCCTAGCGAATATATATATGTATATATGTACGAGATATGCTTAAGACTTTAAGGTACGAATCGATGGCTTGGCTTTGACGTGAATTAAAAGTCAAGTCCAGTAAGTTAAGTGGTTATCGAAGATTTTTTCATTGACCTAAGCCCAAATCCGCTGCACGCAGCAGGTGGCAAAAATTCGCCTATAACCGATTTCTCTCTATATATCTTCTCATTACAATATAAAACGCAACGGGGAAAAAGTTCTTGCAATAACGTTATGGAAAGCGTACACGTTTGTAATACGAAAAGAAAAGAAACCAGAAAAAGACATAAAACAAATTTTTAATGCTATCAGTGAAACGACGATGAAACGGATATTGATGGATGAATAATGATGATATCGATACTGATGAGCTGATGATAAAATTAAAAAGTGAATAAATGCGAAGAAATTGCAAAAATAAATACTTCATCTCAGTCGCGCAACAAGGTTTCCTTTCCATACAACTTTAAATACATATGAGAATAAATAAATAAAATTTGTTTACCCTAAAGCGTAATTCGCTTGGTGGTGAATACATAAAAAATCGCTTTTAATTGTAAAAAGATCGCATTAACACTGACGTGAATCTGACGAATTCGCCCGAAAAATTTCCGATTGCCGTAAGATTGACAATTACTTCGCAATCAACTTTTCCGACTTTGCTGCCTTTACGGTTAGGAGGCGTATCAAGCCTATTTTGAGAACTTAATGGAGAAATCTGTATTAAACTTAAACTTTTTATGTCAATATCGAAGAATTATACACTGTTAAGAATACATTGACGGACAGACGGACGCAGTTTAACTAATTTAAAATCTCGTCCGTATGGGTTAAGCGCAGATCATCCACAATATAACAATAAATTTCATCATTTAATGTCAATGCAGCTTTAGACTGTTAAACGTAAAAAGACGAGCAGACAGACATGGTTGAACAATTGTAAAGGTTTAGGTGTAGAGCAGCAAATAAAGAACGTATGTTATGTGGATGTGAAACAAGTTAAACATATCAATTGATATCTCGACTCCAAGTTTCGTGGTGACACAATTTAGAACCTATTAAACTCATATTGCAAGTTTGGTTGTGTAATTGAATCGCGAACAAACGAAGCTTAACTTTTACAGTTTGCAGGGCGTTTCGGACCGCCATACTTTTATACGCTCTGATACTTACGTATGGGTGTTGTAAACGACATCGCAAATTTAGCATACATAAGTGATAATATATCAAAGCATTTCCCGTATACTTACGTGATGTATTTTGGGGCAAAAATGTAAATTCCTCGTATATTTTTTTTGTTGTGTGATTTTTATTTTATTTTAAAATTAACATTTCTTCAGGGCTTTTATCATATATTTAATATCTTTTATTATTTCACAATATTAATTTTTATTTATCCTTTTTATTTTTTCTTTATTTTCTTTTTGCCTCCATTTATTTCTTACGCTGCATTACGTGTTATTTTACAAAGTGTTTCCATAGGTGTATGTATTTGGTATTCTTTTTGTTATTATTATATTTTCTTGTCTCTTTATTACAAATATGGCAAATATTATGCACATATTTATTATTCTTTTGCTTTTACTGCAATGTCCTCACATTTAAAATATCTTCTTTTTTTTGTCTTTAAATTAATTATAATTTCCTTTTACGTTGATGTATAGCCACCACCACTATCAAAAGAACTTTTCTTTTTTTTTTTTTTTTCTTTTTTTTGTATAACCTTTGTAAGAATTCAGAGAGCAGGTCGGGAAAGCAATTAAAATAAACATATTTCTCATCTGCTTGAGATTGTCGATAGCTACAGAAATATAAATCGCCCACTGTTTGAAGGACTGACACTGTAAAATTTTACATTCAAAAATGAAATGTTGCCCTCGTTGAGGTCTATAGACAAGCTTTAAAGTGACAATGAAGTATCTAGAATAACGGAAACCTCCAAACAACAACCAACTACGGCTTATTTGACAGATAACTCTGAATTTTCGACCGATCATTTAATTAGATCAATAAAAACTTTCTGGCTTTTCTTTTACCAAAGTTCGTTCTAACTCCAAATTCGAATAAATTTTATCTTTGATTTTGATGTTTTGTTCGCATGGCTGCAGCTGCAAAAATTGAAATTCGGTAGATATATTCCTTAGTTGATTGGGAATATAAGCGTAAAAAATAAGCATACTCCGCCCATAAGCACATCCGCAACAGACAAAAAATCACAGGAACTAACCATTTTTTTTTTCTTGAATAATTGATGATCAACTGGAGATAAGGACGTTGCCCTTATCTAAGTGTCATTATGACATTTGCCAATTGGAAAGATGTAAAATTGTAATCTTAGATACGTATACGCGCAAGAACGACGCAATAACATTATTCATAACATAACGAATGACATTATGAAAATTATTGTTGTCTAAAACTAACATTTGGTAAAAATGAGAATTCAAGAATTGGTGCTTCTGCTTGTGATGTACAAACGCCAGGTAGGCCAAAAAATTCGTGTGGAAAACACTTGAGGAACGAAGAACATTAATTCCACGCCCTTCTCAGGCATTACTCAAAAAGATTTACCCCTACATCCCTACATGTAAGCTTCATGTAAAGCAATAATTAAAACCTATAGCACATGTAACACACGCAGCATATTAACCTATTGAAGTCAACGTTTCTTTATTGGATTATTTGTTAAGGTATGTTTTGCGAAGCAGCATTTATCCTTCAGCATCATTCAGCAACGATGAGCGGAATAGATAAGAGTTACAACTACCAAGTTGTTGCTCGAAGTTGGAAATTTCAGTGCGGTTCGATACTTAACCGTGCGCTAGAGTGAGTTTTCAGTTGGTAAAGGCATAACACTTATCGAGTGCGAATACACCCATTTGGCTACGGCTACTATCTATCTTTTTCTCGACTGCAGGAGCTGAAATGAAAACGCTATGTCATGGGACATCGGCCACCATCAAGTATCCTACATCACTTTGCTTAATACACATATTGATATAACGGCTTTTCAAAATAAGGTGATATACGGAAAGCGATCGAAAAAGTGGTCCAGTCTGAACCGTTTTCAACAGCATTCGTCCTAGGATCACACATGTCGGTAAATCAAATTTCATGAAAATATCTCAAAAATTGCGAGCTATCGGTTAAAGTCAACTACACAACAAGACGGACAGACGGACGAACAGGCTAAGATCGTATCGGAAAGTGATTGTGAATCTCTATGCGATTCTCATCTGTTTCTGATCGGTATACATCTTCAAGCCCATCTGGGTGTTGCATACATACATACTAATTTAAAATATTCTCGCACAACAGGGTATAAAAAGACACGTCTGGATGCGTCCTTTGAACAATCCTTTTCGGGTAATCGTAATCGCGATATTAGCGAGAACGAACTACAGCTTCAGTCCATTAGGCATTCATGTATTCATTCCATCTGGGCAATTGAAACGTACAAAATAAATCAACAAACTCTCGATTCATTAAGGTAATGGGTATCGAAAAAGTGCTCTAAGCAAAGAGTAGGTTACGTTTCTTTTCTTTCCCTTTTCTTTTTTTTTATACACTTAATAGTCATAATACATATTTTATTGTTGCAATTAGTTTGCTCTCGGGTAAACTTAAGGTAGCGTGTTTAGTTTTCCTAAGTAGATGGAGTTGTCGAGGAGAAGGAAAGAAAGATTTTACAAAATATTTTTTCTTAATTAAATTCTATTTTATAAATAAATTTTTGCTAAAAAAAAAAAAATGATCGTAAAATTATTTTCATTATATAATATAACAGATAAATCAGTGAGGTGTGTGTGCGCTTATCTTTCGTCTAATAAATATAAAAAAATATATATATAATAAATATATATCAACATAGATACATATGGTTAATTATTTTATATATAATAACATACATATACACTTAAAAACATATCCAAACACACACACACACACACACACACACATACACATAGACGCGCGCATATGTGGATGGTAACTACATCGATAAAACAAACACAGATACATTTAGTTATTAATATAACACATCAAAGAAAACTAAGATTATTTTTTATATTATTATGAATCTATAAAATTAGGTTTATTAAAGTAAAATAAAAATTTCCTTTTTAAAAAAGTTATCTTTGCCGTGGCAATTGTTGCGTTGCCTGACAGCAGGAATGTTGTTCTTGTTCTTGTTGTTGTTGTTTGTATTTGTACCTTCTTTGTACGTGTTGCCATAGTTTATTTATTGACTTTGCATCGATTATTAACGTCCCGATCAGGCTAAAATGCATTAAACAGGTAAATAATAAAAGTTTATAAACATTCATCAATGATGGCATGGTTGCGCCCGAAGAAAAATAAGAACTAAAGAAATTCTTTACACTGGAACCTGATGAGAGAGTAACTGTGAAATATAAGCAAAAGTATACCGAAAATCGTCGTTAGCAACATTTAAATGATAGTCCCTTTGCATTTATGCATATAAAAATGTATAAATATATATGTATGTATGTATATATATACCTCTAGCCGGTATTGGATCTTTCTGCGGTGTACCGAGCTCGATTTCTTTGTATTCTTGATACAATTCACCAATTGTAGCGGTACAGCGTAACAATAGGCCGCCACCACTGCCGCCATGATTATGCACTGAATTCATGCCATGAGCCGTATAAACGTTATGTTGTCCATATATAGATGGATTAGCACTACTAAAGTGTATACCTTGTAGTTGTAATTTTAAACTAATACGCGATGCTATCAAATTGTCAATAGTTCGTATATATTGCGTTTCTGCATTATTAATCTGAAAGAAGAGAGAAAGAAAACAAAAAATCCAAAAGAGCAGAGAAATACAAAAGAGATTAAAGCCTGTTGAATCATATATGTGACGTTGATAATTTTTGAATAATCTTATTTAGGTTGGTTTAGGATGAAACTACATTTGTTTTTTGCAAACTTTTAAACACAGAATTCAACCTATACAAAAACTCTTCATACTTTGTATAGGAAGCAAAGATTAAAAGATCAAATCCCTTTACATTATTAAACAGCTTCGCTTCACTCCACTAATGAACATTGGGGTGTTGCATTATTTTACTCCCATACGTAAGCACGAAATTGAAGGTAAATAGCAATTCGGGAATTTTCGCTTTCTGTATATAGTTGAGAGAAAACATGTTCTATCAATTAAAATACTGATAAGCTATTTTGTAGCTTATTAATGAGAATGTTGTAGCTATTATTTTATTTATATATATGTAGAAGGACCAATGCAGAATGATCACTAAGGCTATTGGTTCTATTGAAACCTAAACTACTTGTGGTGGTTAGACTTGATATAAACCCACCTTGTATTATCTAAGCTTGTCTGTCTGTCCGCGTCTGTACATGTATGCTTGCATTTAAATTAGACATCGGAAATTTTCGAGATATTTTGATGGCATTGGATATATTGACGTGTTTTGATTCAAGGACGAGCGCTATTGGCAGTGGTTCGGATCGTAAAGCACCTTCGATAAATTCCCATATAAAGCCCCATTTCGAAAAGCCGTTGTTTAGATAACTATAGGATGATGTAGGGTACTTAATGGTGGACCGCGGCTTTCTCGCGTGATTCTTCTTGTCGTCCATTAAAATAATAATTTTTATAAAACAATAGTTTGTTATACTAATGCATAAAATATGTAATCGTAAAATACGAACATCTGTGGAAGATTGATTAATTAAGAAAATTGTGAAAAGTATGTGTGAAAGTATATCGACGAAGTAAGCGAAATAGTTCTTAAAATGGTCACGTTGCTGGTTATAGACCGGCATGGATGGGAGGTTACGAAAATGCTAAGTCTAACTATACGAATTATATAAGAACTGAGTGTAACGGGTGTAAAAAAGTATGGATGATGCTAGATATATAGATTGAATCAGAAAGACTGAACAAGGAATCTCTGAGATATCCACAATAATCAACAATCAAAGGCTTGCAAACTTAACGGTTTCGCCAATCGATAAAACGCATTTTTCTGCATAATTTGGATAAAAAGCCAGACGCCGTATGCCTATAGAAGCCTTTTTTCGTATGTCTAAGTTTGAACAAATCTTTTTCATTTACAGCTACGTTCACAAATGTCACATATCTCACTATCTCATACTGCCTTCTCCGAACTTCTTCAACTTCCTAATAAATATAAACAAACAGCAGTTTGTTGCCTGACGTCTTACCACCGAAACTCTAAACTACTCGCACGCAAAGCTCGATGATAGGCTATACTAGTAGCCTTAAGCTTTTTGTTTATATCATTAGTTTCTCTTTTGATTTTAATCTTTGCATTATAGATAATTAACTCTAATGCGTAATTTCCTTTTCGTTTTCAGCACATTTTTAATTCCGTAAATCCTTGCAAAAATTGTTGTATTTAAAGAGACAATATCCATGTTTTAAAGTGTTTAATTTTTGATATTTAAAATGCACTTTAATTTATTTGTACAAAAACAAAAAAAAAGCTTTTATTTAATCCGACAAAAGACTTTACAATGAAAAGAACCGAAAGAAAAAGAGATTATGTACGGATTAAACTGAATCTTTTCGCTATCCGTTTTTTTTTTTTTTGCTTTTATTCAGACCTAAAAAAAAAAAAAAACACGATATTATTAATGTCTTATAGATTATAGAAACGCGAAATAAACGTAACGTGTTAAGCGCGAATAAGTAATAAACAATTTGCAGATGACTGCTTGCTAACCAATGCACAGATATGTGTAAATTGTTACTTTCAAAGAATATATCGAAAGCATAAAGTGTATCCGTAATATTATAATAAACAAAAATTTTATTGCAAAAGTAGTAAGAAGAAGACGTAAGGACTTTAAAGAGAAACCTGTAGAACAACTAAGATTTAGTAGTAGACGTTCCGTAGCCGTATTGATTTCAGCATAAATTACACACATGGAACAGGGATAGGTTTTTGCATACCTGATCGCGATTTCGTTAAGCAGCGTTATAATCTGGAAACCAATACTCCAATATTGACGTAGCTTAGAAATAGTAAGCCAAAGATCGAAGCTCTTCTCTTAATAGATCTTCTCTTAGAGCCGCATATCTCAGGTATAAACGCATATCAGAGGAGTCAGGGGATATCCTTAATACGTGCAGCTCAGAGAGTGTAGGAGTATTATTAACGATAAAAAGGGGTAAACATTTAATATTAAAACGGATCCTCTTTACAGTATTTTTTCTCTCTTAAAAGGCGAAAACAAACAGACAAAAACTGAGCAAATTGCTTTGAAGGATAGACTTAAAGGATACATTTGAACTCGGTATGGTTACCCAATGGAGCCAAGGTGATCGATCATAAAAGAAGTCACAAAAATCGAGTTTGATAATATTCCTTGAACCCTAGATTGTGTGATAATAGCCACAATTACAGCCAAACGAATGCTTTGAAATCCGGGATCAGATTTCTTGAGTTTGAATTAAATTTCGAGTGAAAAACGAAAGCAAGACAAAATAGAGCCTTTCAGATGTAGACTGATGTCGATTCGGTATTCTTCTTTTCATCTACACTCCTTTCTGCTTTTCATATTAACTCTTTGCGTTTCTAACTTTCTTTTCTAACCTACGACTCACTCCTTACCCAATTTAAAAAAAATAGCATAAATATTGATCTCAATGTAATGTCGTAAGTTTTCGGAATAGGACGCATATAGCATTTGAAAGAAAAAAACGATCTTCAATAATTTCAAATAATATAACAACGAATCCAGCTCGACGTAAAAGTCGATGTAGGAAATATGATTTCGAAATAGAAATAGAAATGGTTAATCGCTGTAACAATAAGCCTCAAGGAGTTTCTGAAGCATATTTCTGCGCTTTAAAAACATTTGAAATATTTAATATACCTTCTGTTGCGGGTAAAAGGAAAATAAAAAAGGAATTTCTCTCTAGATCTCCTACAACAAAAAAAAGAAGAAAAATTATTTAAATAAAAAATATTTTGAAAACTAAAAACACTTTACTTTTAATCCCATTCAAATGCTAAACAAGTGAAAGGAAAATACGAAAGCACTTGCATGCCTGGCGTGGTCAGTGTATATATGATGTATATATATATATGTATATATATGTGTGTGTGTATGCACATGTGATGGCAATCGTTTCATTGAATAACACTATATGATTATTGAATAGAGAGCATTTTTTTTGTTTTATTTTAAATGTTTTGATTTCGAATAAAAACAAAAATAAAAAAAATAAAAATGAGAGAATAAAACTCGCAAGTGTAAATCTAGTAGAAGTTCGATTTTTCCCTTCTTTTTTTTTTTTTTTTTTATTTTCGTTAAGCTATTTTGTATGTGACAACAATTTCACAGAGAATTGCTTTAAATAACAGCCATTAAGTAGAAAAGCTGTTTTTCGCATGAGAGACTTGCCAGCATTTATATCAAATGCAAGTTTAAGCATCTTATTGCAAATGCATGAGCATAGCGTAGTATGGCATAGTGAATGTTTTCAATAGTGTTGGTGTTAGTCTGCTGGCACATCTTTATATTATATGTAAGACCAACAACAACGATATCCAAAAAAAAAAAAAAAACAAAGAAAAACAAAGTATATAAAAACAAAACCAGTTCCTTATCCTAGGAGAAAAGGACTTCAGAGATGTGCGAATACGTAGTAGATGTAAGTATATGTAGAAAAACAATAGCAAAGGCGTACCTACTTACATGAAAGCCTACACTTGCTTACACTCTTCTAATAATGTCTGTAATTTGTTGTAAGCAATTGTTTATGTTCGTTTGTGTTTTATGAGTGCCTTATATTACGTGTATGAGTGCGTAGTTGTTTCACTCTTTGAAAAACGAAAAACCATAAAAACACTACTAACTAACAACTATAACGAACGACCAGAGGATGTATGTTTTGACTTGGATCCTAAGAGAAACTAAGAAATTCTTAAACATAAAATACGAAATAAAATATGTGTTGTTTAGATGAATGTGTGCTTTGTAAAAAAGAAAAAATAAAATAAAATGAAAGTAGGAAAAAAAGGAAGGAACAGCCAGCCAACACCGGAAGTTGAGAAAGAGATCTAAAACACTTTCAAGTAGTAGTTGCACGATAAAGACGCCAGTTGGCTTCCAACAACAGCTGCATTCTATTAACACAGTTAAAGTTTAGTATAAACTATGCTATTACCACTACTACTACCGTTGGCACTGTTGCTATACGAAAAAAAACCCTTTTCTTATCAATGCGTGCGCGCAAGTATGTATATATGTGCCTATAAGTTAAAAGCAGCAGCATTGGCGGCGACATAAACTGTCCTCGACGTGGTTTTAAAGAACAGATTTGTTGCTACCATTGTTTGTGTTATTTTAACGCTGTTCAAACATATGTTGCAGCAACGACTTTTAAAATAAAATTTGTTCCCCTTGAGCTCTCAAACGCCTGTACACATAAAACAAACACATGTTATTATACATGTACCGCATTAGACATGAAATTTATCATGAAGACCTTACTCACCTTCGAAGTAGTTTTGCCAAATTATATGCGGAGGGCTTGAAAGGCTTTCACTGATTTCACGTTTAGTCAAACTTTTGAAAATATTTTAAATATTTTCCTGACGTAGTTTTCCTTAGGTTGTTATTTTTATGAACTATGAATTTTCCAATATCAAGACTCGTTAAGGAATGTGCGGCAAATTTAATTAAATACATACCTCGAGCGTAAAAAAATCATTACCTAGATGCCTAAACGATAATCATTTCATTTCCTAAGGGAACTTTACCTCGTCGGTGAGCATT